AATGAGCACTGATTGGTTTGAATGCTGTTTAAAGCTGCGGTGTGGGATTTATACGCTTTTAGTGTCATAAAACGATTTTGCTTAAATAAAGATTGTTTCTTTATAGTTTTCTCTGGATTTAAAGCAATATTTTATTGTTGTAGTATTCTAAAGAATGACACACAGCAGCTTTATGACACAAGTTTGTGTATGTGTGTGTTTTTAGCCAATCACAGCTTTGCTTTGTGCTGCTGCAGCCAATCACTAGCAATCCAGCTTTTGAATTACATAATATAAAATGTTAATATTTAATTATGTGTGTGTTTATGTATGTTTATTTAAAGTGAGAATGATTTTCTTACAATTTTTTTTTTTTGGATAGCTATTAAAAACAATCATTAAGAAATTACCGTAATAAAACATTATCAAAGAAATTTGTTTAAACATGTAATAAATTTTTTATATAAAATGTAAAAATACCATTGTTTAGCTTTTTATTACCGATAAATATATATAAAATATATATTATATATTACTATATTTTTAAATTTGTGATTGTTTTTTATATTTTTATTATTATAATTATTATGTATTTTTTATAATTTATTTACTACAGCTAATATTATTATATATTATATATTATATTATTATTATTATTATTATTATTATTTACAAACAACCAAACAATATTGTGATTACATTTTGTATAAATTAATCTTATGTTTAAACATTTATTTTTGCAAATGTTTATTACCATATTTGTTAAATATATATTATGAGGATTAATATAATATTTATTTATTCTACTTCAACTATTTTTATTTATTATCTTTTTTTTGGTCTTTTGTATAACAATACAAATTAAATAGTAAGAGGGAAACAGTAATATATTGTTAATCCCATCCCCTAACCTCTCATTCATTAACTCAACAAAACAACAATACATTAAAAAAATAATTATAATAAATAAATACATGCCAAATTAGGAAAATTAAATACATAAGAACATGACGTCAGAATAACTGGATACAGATTGGAAAAAATAATAATAATTAAAAAAAAATTTATAAAATGGTAAATGTTACAGGTTGCCAGCACCAGATGTAATAGGTAGACCTTTGATTTAGGGAAGAAAGGAATCCCAAGTCTTATAAAAGGAATCTATTAAGCCAGAGAATGGGGCAATGGGGGGTGTTTCCACTTTAAAAGTATGGCACGTCGGGCTAAAATTGTGGTAAAGGTAACAACCTTGCTGTCACGGACTGTCAAATCACACACCAAAGAGGGCTAGCAAGGGATCTACAAATATTTTTTTATTATATTTGAATATCATTTAATAAAATATTATGTTTCAAACATATATTAAGAAATTCCGGTAATAAAACATTGGCAAAAAAATGTTTAAACATATGATTAATTTCTTATATAAAATGTATTAATAATATTGTCTAGCTTTTTTATTACCGATACTGTTACTATTTTTGTTTTAAAATTTGGGGTAATTTTCCTTAAAATATTATAAGGATTGCTATTATATTTTTATTCCATTATTAATATTATTATTATTATTAGTAGTAGTAGTAGTAGTATTTTATTATTATTTACAAACAAACAAACAATATTATGATTACATTTTATATTAATTAACCTTATGTTTAATTTTTTTTATGTTTATTACCATATTTTTAATATATATTACAAGGATTATTAATATTTCTTTTTTTATTCTACCACAACTTTTTTTATCATTATTTAATATAATTTCATAAATTATTGTGTTTAAAATGTATATTAAGAAATTATGGTAATAAAATATTTGCAGAAATATTTCATTTTATATAAATTGTATTAATAATATTGTTTACCTTTTTATTACCAATACTATTATTATATTTATCTTAAATTATAAGTAAAATATTACAAGGATTCTTATATTTTTTATTCTACTGCAACTGTTGTTATTATTATTATATTTTATTGTTATTTACAAACAACCAAATAATATTATGACTACATTTTATATAAAATAATCTTGTTTAAACTTTTCTTTTGCAAACCTTTCATAACCATAATTTCCTAATATATATTGCAATGATTAATATTATATTTAACTATTATTTAATACATTTTTTGTTTAATAATGAAACAAGTATTAATTTATAAAATGTAATAATTAATAAATAGTTGATATTTATTAATAATTATTAAATAAATGTTTTATATTTAGCTTTTTTTTCATACTCATTTTGTCAGTTATATTTATTTATTTTAGGCCGTAATATAATCTAGACATTAATATATTAATACATTAATATATATAATTGTGTGATTTGTTTATACATTAAGTCGCACTTTAAGCCACCCTACACTTCAAAAATCTTTTTTGCTGTTAGTTCAAACTGCTTTTATAAAATGAGCATAATCAACTCAACTCTTGAGTTGTTTTTGTTGTTGTTGTTTTGTTTTTTTTGTACACCTTAATTATTCTCAATCCGCCTAAAGGTGCAGTATGTAAGTTTGACACCCAGTGGTTAAACTAGGTATTGCACGGCTGGTTCAAAACATACACAAGTGCAGGTCGCCAGATTGCCGACACCAACATATCAGTGATTCAGCATGTACAATAAATATTGTTAAAGAGCTTTGATATGTATTAATTAGATTATAAACCTTACCATTTAGCTGGAGTGCAGTAAGTGCACTATTCTGTGCTTGTTAATGGCTGTATTTAAGTTTCTATCCTGTTTCGTCTGGTGCAAACAGCATAAGTTAGGATAAATCTCTTATCACTGTGAATCTAGTCATGTAGTGTGTTGTTAGGACACGCGGTTACAGTGTAAACTGCTCACCTAACGTTTACGTTTGTAATATTTATATTATTTGCTAATTATTAACTTCCTCGTGTGGAACTCGGAATCTGTGTCTCATTTCGGAGGCTGCTACTGTCCACCAGAGGTAACACTTCAGTCACGGACACATACTTTGAGAGCTTTGCTGACTGA